GAAACAACCCAAGTAACCATTGATGAGTGGATAAGCAAAATGTGGTATAGATGTGTGGTGGAATATTATTTGGCCCTGAACAGGAAAAATGCTACAACATGAGTGAACTTTGAGGACTTGATAAGTAAAATAATTCAGTTACCAAAAGAAGGCAAATATGTGTAAGTCCACTTACAAAAAGTACTCAATTCATAAAGACAGAAAAAATAATGATGATTGCCAGAGGTTGGAAGAAGGGAAGAACGGGGAGTCATTTCTTAATAGGCATCAAGCTTTGAGACTCACAAGATGAAACAGTTATAGGATGGATGTTGGTAATGTCTGCACAACACCATGAATATACCGAAAGCCACTGAACTGTCCTTACAAATAACTAGGAATTTCATACTATGTATATTTTAACTTCAAATAAAGGATGCTGCTAAACATAACTTTGAATAACATAGATAACTTCATAAATAAAATAAGCTGATTAAAGATGATATTTAGAAAATAAAAGCGGAGTGAAATGACAAACATAATCCCCCTAGTCCCAGGACCCTCCACCACGGACTGTTTTTCTGGGGCCTGTGCGAAGCCGATTCTTCACTCAGGTGAGGGTGGGTGCAGTCGGGCAGTCCCTGCAGCTCTGGAGCAGGGAGGGGACCACCAGAGACCGCAGGCCTTGCCTGGGAATCCAAGGCTGCCTCTCCTGTCTGCCGCAGACTTTGCTGGGCATCAGTCTGGGCTGTGCAGATGTGCTTCCTCCGTCAGAAAAGGCTACTCCCTGCTGTTTGTGCAGGAAACAGCACCCGGCAGTGGAGGTGCTTGGTAACTGTCCCTCAGGGTGGCCTTGGTGCCCAACCTATGCACGTCAACCTACACCTATATTTATTTCCTTCCTTCTGGAGTTTTCAATCTCTCAGCCTCCCTGGTGGCACAGGGGTTAAAGCCTCAGCACTATCAGGCTACTACCAGCAACTTAGGCCTGAGTTCGATCCCCGGCCAGGGAGGTGACACACATGGCCCAGCAGACCTATACTGTCTCTCCACTGCTCCCTTCAGCAGTGTACTGCAGTAGATCCGTCTGTTCTGTTCCCCACTCTGCCTCTGGTGAATCCTCTCACCACCCCCATATCTTTGGCCTACACCCTAGTTCATGCATAATAACCCCCAAGGCTTTTTTTTTTTTTTTTACCTTTTGATAATAGTGTTTATTTACAAAGTTTATTTTTACATCATTTTGCACATTTTTTTTTCCATCTCGATTGTAATCCCCGCGGGTTTCCCATCACCAAATCACCCCTGTGCCACCA